GAATGTCTCTTTATAATAAATCCCGTCTTTATACGAAACCTTTTGTGACCAATCGAGCCTTGAAACGGATTTTTCCACTGTCCTATAGTTTCTGGCAGAAGACCCAGCGATTCATCCAGATTTGTACATCTTTCGGACGTTCGACCCACACCCAACTATCTTTTTCTCTAAAGAATCCAATTCCTCTTTAATTGTCTTCAACCATTTTTCTCGGCCATGAGGCTGTAGCACTTCAGTGTAGGAGTTTGATTATTTTTTTCAGTGTTCGACGATCCGGCCATGTAGACAAAATCTCCGCTGGTCATCCACATTTTTTCGTCGATTCACGTTTGCCTTTTCTTGTTGTCTCTTCTTCGGCATTCTCACATGCTGAAACATCACTTCCCCTGGAGCAGGACACTGGTGCAACTTCAGGTTTAGTCCATTCTTCCTTTTCATCGTCGTTGCTTTCTTCTGGCTTTTGTATTTCGGATCAAGCGAGTTTTTCTCATGAATCTTCACGCTCCATCGGTATTGTCTCGCACATTGCCGACAACTTCAGGCTTGAATCTCACATCGTGCCTCAGGACTATCTTCCTTTGAATCGGAATCCAAGCTCTGAATCCATCCCTGTCGTTCACGTATTCAACCAGATGTCCATGGATATATTTATCGTTAAACAGAGTAGAAGTTGTTGTTGATGTTCACGTAGAATTCTGTTCCGAAAATCTTCAAATTATTGCGACTTCCTAGGGTCGTCCATGCCACAATTCATAAGGAGACTTAGTTGCAATGGAAGAATTTTCAGTGCGATTCAGGAGGTATGTGGCAGTATTGCATGCTTCTGTCCACAGTTCTTTTGACAACTAACTTAGATTCAACAAGGAACGCGCGCGCTCGATAATTGTTCAATGTTCACGCTTTGCAACACCATTTTGCTAGTGGTGGATACGGCGCAGTACTGCAGTGTTCTTTGCCCCTGCTTCTCTGGGATCCCTGAGTTCTGAGACCTTGTCAATTTCCTTTCCTCCATCACACTTCAGTTGCTTGATAACATGTCCATTCGTTTTGGCGTCATTAAAAAGCTGCGTCGTGGTGTCCACCTGCGAGTGAAAACTTCACTTTTCTGCTTCAAAAAGAAATCTCGACGATACTTGCTAAATCATCTTTAAAATACACAGTAGCGCACCATTCCGAGAGATGCATTCGACATGGGTGCGTTTACATCGGCGAGGGTTTGTTCACCAGTTACCATCGGTCGATTCATACGTTTGTAGAATGGCAACCCATACATTTTTCCCAGTGCACATCTATCGCAGAATTCTTCCTTGCCCAAGGAGACGTTTCCATGGAGGGGCCAGATTTTTGGGAGTTTTTACAGGGGAAGGAAGTTTCTGGTTAAGCTCCCGCATCAAAGTGTAAAAGCGGATACCAGGTGGTTTGGGTAAAGATAGTCTTTGTAAGTATGATCATTCGAGACCTGGGTACAAGAATGCTTGCCGAGATACACCACCCAGCTCTAACACTTTTACACTGTACAAACAGAGTAAAATCTCCTGTCTCCGACTAAAAGACGGATCTCCAGCTTCAGCCAAGACACACCCGATACGGCCTGTGTAATAGGCACCTGTTCTTATGCAGATTCCGGCATGGTGAATGGTATTGAGGTGTTGTAAGTTGAAGGTGACGCAGATCCGCATACGATTCTGCCATAATCCAAAACAGATCGAATAAGTGTCATATATAACAGTAAGAGGCATGTACGATCAGTGCCCACAACTCAGGTTGCGAAGTTCAATGGCGATACACCTCGGCTCTGCAGGTTGCGGACATGTTTTCACTAAGTCAGGCTTTTGTCGAACGTAAGACAAAGAACGGAAGTGGCGTCAATAAACGGGAGTTTGTGGTTTCCGAGGAACAGTACTGGGTTATTGTGGAGTTGATATATCCTGCAGAATTGAGTGCACGTCTATTCAAGACGAAATGTAGTTGCCTTTGGATGACGTTAAGACTCTTGGATGAGTAGAAAATGGCAAAATCATCACCAAAAAGCGATGCCTTTACATGCTCTCGTACGACTGTCGCTATGGTGTTAATTGCAATGGCAAACAGGGTGGCGCTCAGAACTGATCCCTGAGGAACTCAATTTTCCAAAGGGTGACCTGAAGTTTGTGGCCAGTGCAGACTCGGCAAGATCTTAAGGAAAAGAAGTGCATAAAGAACAGAGGGATCTCTCCTCTAAGTCCCCAAGAGTGCAAAGTGCGAAGTATGTCGTGCCTCTAGGTTATGTCATAGGTTTCCTTAATTTCAAAGAAGACGGCTACAAAGTGCCATAATACGAAGTCAATATCTGCGAAGCAAGTGACCAAGTGATCCAAAGTAGATCGATGCTTCCTGAAGCAACACTGTATTAGTGTTAAAAAATGTCTTTGCTCCAGGAGCCAGATCAGACGTCGGTTAACCATTTGCTTCAATAGGTTACAAATACAGCTAGGAAGCGAAATTGGTCTTTAACTCGAGGGAATAATTCGATCCCTTCCTTCCTTAGGAATAGGCATTGCAATAGCCTCGCGCCACGTGTCATGAATGATGTGTTCGTTCCGAATGCGGTTAAGGAGGAAAGAACGCGCCTTCTCGGGACGGTGTTTAAACATTTGGTTGTGGATTTGGACAGGTCCTGGAGCAGAGTCTTTCAGAAGAGCAAGCGCAGACAATACTTCTTCCATGGAAAATGGGGAGTTATATTCCTCTTTTCTAATGACATGTGAAAAGTCCAATGTATTTTTTACAATCTCCTCTTATGATTGAGAAACACAGCAGAATGTTGCAAAAGAACTGGAGATGTTCTCACAGTGAGAAGCCAGTTTCTCTCCTATATCTTCATGGGAGGTGATCACATTTCCTTTCGCCAGCAACCCTGGAAATGGAAGGACGTCTTCCCCCAAGTCGGCGGACTTTTCGCCATACCACTTTAGGGGTAAGGCAAGAGAGCGAAGATAGGCTCTCCAAGACGTAATTTTGCTTCTATCCTGGCGCAACTCTTGTGTTCAATTAAGTTATCAATTGTAGGGAATCTATTGAGCCTGGACAACGCTCGTTTCAGCTAACAAACAAGCGGAGGCGCAGTTAACTTTCCACCAGGGTACAAGATGAAGTCGTGGTCAGCCATCGTTCTCGGTGTGGCGGCGGTTGCGGCGCCGAGAACGGCTTCGGTAAAGTGAGCAGCAGTACAATGTATGTCGTTGGCAAACTGGTCTGACACGTGCAGTTCTTCATCTATTTGGCCGTGTCGGCGCGCTAGATTGATCTCTGGGGTGGGCTGACATCGAGATCTGGCACATTTAAGTGGACCAGGATTGTAAAATGTTCGCTTCCATGGAAGTCCTCTAGAACTGAGCATTCTAAAATCGTAGATAAAGATAGACTGCCGAAAGCAAGATCGATGTAGGAACGGGTGTTGCACGCCAGAAATGAATGGAATGGCCAATATTTAGAAGAACCAAATTAAATTGACTACGATATTTTCCACGAGGATACCTCTCTGGCAAGACCTTTCTGCACCCCAGACGCTCTCCAGATTTGACTCCATGCGATTTCTTTTTATGGGGTTATTTGAAATCCCTGGTTTATGTCGATCGACCACGGACCATAGCACACCTCAAGAACAACGTTCGCGACGCCATTGCCAACATACCGATTGATATGCTGCAAAGAGTGGATACGAATTTCAAAAATCGACTTCATCAGTGTATGCGCAATGGAGGTCGCCATTTATCCGATGTCATTTTCAAGACTGCATGAAAAAAAATTGGGATATTGTATTCTCAAATAAAAAAATTAAAACAATAACTGAAGTACTTTTGTTTTTATTGACCTTTCAAATAAGTAAGTTTCTCTGGCGCACCCTGTACATACGCACGAAAGTTTGAGAAGGGAAACAGGGCACTCTGAACGAGAAGGAAAGGATAACCATGAGACTTTCGCCGCGATCGCTTGACTAGATTCCATTCGACTGAGATTTACATGAGCAGAACAGAATAGTATCGAGATCTCACAGTTCGACACGACGTACTTAAATGAAACCTTGAAAGAGGATGAATTCATGGAAGTTTCGGTAAAATGAGTAACATTTGTATGTATCAGAGCAAACGAAAATCTAAAAGTACATCCTGGAGATTCTCCCAAGAGGAAGTGTTGGTGTTAACGAGGAACGATACAAACACGTCATTCAGCCAAAATCGATATGTCAGGCACTCAACCGCTATCTATGATGAAAAGACAAGGTTTTTCATCATGCCGCTATCTTTCTGCTTTCTATTTGCAAAACTCGACCAGCACCAGTGTGTGTAACTGGGTGGGTGTGGCCTATGAGCCCAAAGTATTTCTTGGGACTCCATAAATGCACCCTAGACAAGTGTAAGCTATTTAAAGACGTGCGCTATTTCCTAGAAGTAATAACTGTGTAACTGTAAACTGAAATGTGTTTTAAATAAGTATTAAGAATATTATGAAAAAGTTACATCTGTTGTTTACTCTACTTATTTCTCACAACATTAACACAGTCACTCGAAATTGTAAAGATAAAATGAAACAATATCTGTTTTGGTTTTATTAATGAAATGTTTTTTAATAATTTCAGATATGACTTCTTGACTTATTATTTTGACTTCTTGCCTTACCACTCAATATTTACATTTGATACAAAGACACCCAATAATCTGAAGTTGTTTTTTAAAATCCAAACAATATTAAATTATGGTTCTGCAAAAAATTATATGATTTAATTTGCCAGGAAATCACCTAGATAATGAATTCCAGACAATTATTTTAAAAACTTAATATGTTAGATTCAAAATAGTAAACATCTAAAAATAACTACATAATGTGAGCAATTGGCTAATGCCAGAATTAATTACGCAGACCAAGTTTATTAACCAGATAAATAAAAATAAATAGAGCCAATACATTTAGAGCCCATCCTGTTTTTCACTTAATATAACTTATAAATTTAATAATCTTACCTGAACCACCGGGGTTGGTGAGAAATTCCATCTAATTCTTTGCGCTTTCGTCTATCTCTCTGAGACTGCTCTAAGGCCAGCTTCATCTGCTCAGCTCCTGACAGATTACCTTCTTCCAGAAGCCTTGACAAGAACATATCAAATTAATATGTGATATTGAGGGTGCAAGCAATAGTTCATGTTTAGTTCCTCATGAGAAGTTACACCAAGCTAGTCAAATGTAGAAATTACAGGCAAAGTAACCAATGAAGCATTTCACAGGGTGGCTCACTTTTTCTACCACACAAGTTTCCCTGACTTTTCCTGTTTCTTTCACATTTTTTATATTTTTCCCTCACAAAATGTTTTAACACTACTTACTAACATTAAATAAAGCAAGATTTGAGTTTTATACTAGCTTAAAATTTCAACAAAAAAGCTCGGAAATTCTTAGTGGAAGTTTCACCAAATATTTTCTCTTTACCAATTCTTAACGCCATAAATTAATTTCCAAGAAAGCCTCATTCCTAAATAATACATTCCGAGAAGAGCATATTTGTGCCCCTGACAAGTCCTGAAGATACCTATAGATCCCTGTCTTCATGCCAAGAGAGATTTGAAAGAGCTGTGTGGGGAGGTAGGTGAAAACAAGAATTACAGTACCTTTCTTTGTACAAAAACAATCTAATCTTTCCCCTTCCATGCAATAATAGAAGATATTGCCAATATTAAAATATTATTAGCTGAGCCTTTCTCTCCGTAGAAACCGAGTGTTTCTTGCACTTATCATAGAGAAAGAGAGAAACATCCGACTCAAAATTCATAATTTTTCTCTTAATACATTTTTCAGTTCTCTGATTTCTCTGTGTTAAAGACAAATAATTGAATTGGATTAACAAAGAGAAATGGAGGCAATGTCCATGACATCTGACAATTCTCCAAAAATTTGTCCAATTTTTCCCTGGCTTTTCCAGGAAGTGACCACCCTGTTTTACCAAAAGTTTTAAGAACAATTGGTAATCTAAAACTTTAATCATTAATAAATTGAATTAATAGATCAAGTTTCATTTTCAGAAATTATAATATATAATACATAGAAGTATAAATTAATGTTGCAAATGATCCATTCACCTTTGATCTGGTCGAAAGCGTGTGTCAGTTATAGGAAGATATTTAGCCATATCCGGATCCAATTCATTTAATTCCATTGCAAAACGTGTAAAACCATAATATAATTCGTATTCCTCAGGCATAGTACCTACAAATGTTAACAAGAAAGTTCATTAAAAATTGTGAGAGAGTGTCAGAGAGTGCATGTGCTATGCGTGTGCAGTGCATGTGTATGTGTGTGTGTAAGCATGCATGGTGTGAGTGCATTTTATAAATAATGTGCTTTGCATCTTGATACTTCAATAATCAGAAAAAACATTCACATTGAAATTTGCAATAACTAAAATAATCATTACTATCCTATTAATATACTGAGTACATCTACTTAAAACACTGCTGAACAAAGGAAACTCTTATTAATAAATGTTCAAACCACACCCCCATAGAACAAAAGGTAAATACAACTGAAGAATGGGAGTACTTAATTAATGACTAAAATCAGTCAGCCTGCCCATTCTTCAGCCTGTTCATCAGTCTGTCTGACCATCCGTCAATCTCTCTCAATACATCCATCAGTCAGTCAGTCTGTCCATCCATCAGTCCATCTGCACTTCAATCAGTCTGCCTGTCAGTCTGACACAGGATATTCTTCAATTGGATAATCCCCAATCACATCTAGAACACTCAAGGCCATGGAAATTTAAAATGGATCTTTTAATTTTTGGTAATTTATCATGAAGATTCTATGAAAATTCCAGAATTATCTCAAAAATGGCTGCACAATTTTTCTTTAAAGTTTTAGTCAAATAGATCAAAGTGTGTTTAAAGGTTGTCTGGCCAGATTTTCATTAAGACCTCAGAAATTAAAAAAATTAAACCCTAACACCTATATCAACATGACTGATGATAGAAGTATTTTTCTTAAAGAAATTTCTTCTTGAAAAGTAGATCTTTAAAATATGCAACGAACTTTATGTTTCAAATATGAGTAGGTTTTGTGTAAATTTGAGTGAAATCGTGCTAATTTTCAAAAATAATTAAACAAGTTTTTTGCTCAAAAACAACTCCATGTGGTTTCTTTAAACTTTTTGTATGGTTAGTACTCAATGCACGGAATCACAAGACATAAAGCCCATCTTGATTAATTTTTTTTTCTTCAAAACTTACATGTACTTTGAAATACTTTGAATGTTGATAATTACAGGTAAATTTAATGCATTTGCCCATACAAATGATTCAAATTATCTTTAATTGTGCTTAATATGATATTCTAAAATTCTCTCACATCATTTAAATTATTACGGCGCTGGAAAATTGAGAAATATAAAAAAAGGAGACAGGTGTTTTTTATAACACTATATCTTCATTATTTTTATTCAGGGAAAGTATACTAAGCCATTTTGCTAATTGAGAAGACCTGTAAATATTACATTCAAGATTTTCTGAAAATTTGCTTGATTTTAAGTAAATTGGTAAAAGTTAGTATAAGGATAAAAGTTTTAAAGCTAAAGAAACATCCGTACATTGTTGCAATGGCAACAAACTGTGCTTAATGTCATTGAGAAAAATAAATCCAGTGTTGCAAAGCACACCATTGGCCATGTTTGCAATAAAACAAATTTCATTTTATTTACAAAGTGTGTTTGAGAAGTCATGGTGCATTGTGTTTCAAGCAGTTTAATGACAAATTAACATATTACAGCTGAAAAATTATAGATACATCATTTGCAATAAACTCATTATCACTTTACACAACCATCATTCCTGTATTATTTCAGTAGAATATATACCATTTCGTGGCTCTCACATGCAACCAATCTTTATAAAAGAGGTCTTTAAAGAATGAGAATTTCACAGAGACATGACTTTTTTTTCTATATAGTTAAATAACTTTTAAACAAAGCATTCTAAAGCCTTAAAACCTAAAATTTTGAGGCCATAGGCTTTAAAGAAACGTTCCTCACACCGTAATTTACAGGACGAGATCTTCTTGAACATTTTTGCTAGTTCAGCGCTTTTTGATACTATCACAATATTGAGTGAATGTATCATACAGTAGAGCAGCTCCATGTTAAATGCAATATAACTAAGTGTTGGCCGACAACTCTAATGTTCCGCAAATAAGCAAAACAAACTAATAAGCATTACAGTGATTACATTCGATACTACATTCATAATAGAGTGCACTTTGCTATAAATATGCCTCAAAAGGAAGTGTTTATATATTTTAATTTCATCTCGAATATAACTAAAAATAAAACAGGTGAAGTAGATTTTTTAAAGTATTTTTTTGTCTTTTTGAGAGAGTCCGGAGAGGATCCGGATTGTACCTAGAAGGGCAAATAAAAGCCAGGGTGAAGCTGATTGTTTATATTTTCTTTTACAGTACTACAAATTATTTTCGAAACTACATCTAAATATTTTCTATTTTTTTCTTACTAATAAAATATTAACATCCCAAATGCTGGAATATAAATATTTGCCTTTCTTTTCCCTTACTGACTTAATTCTCTGGTGAACTTCAACAAAGAGTAAATTCTTATTCTCACAAATGTTTTCAGAACTATCTTCTTGACTTCAAATTACCACTCACAAAATTGATTTCTGAGAATTTGCGTTATAGCTGATCAACAATTAATTCTCCAATTCTATCATTAAAACTGCTTCACACTTTCACAAATATTTATTAAAAATGACAGAACATGCATGTAAGAGAGTAGTTATTTTGAACATATTCACAGCAATAAACTTTGAACATGCCAGAGTTACCGCATTGGATGCTAATTGCTACTTATACATTGCACAAGAAAGTCTGTATTACGTAGCTCTATTAGTAACTGAATATTTTTTATGTATACTATATTAGGGCCCCCCAACTTTCTGAGCCCCCGGCCTTATCCACATCTGCCCATCCTAGTGATGGCACAGGGTGAAGGAATGGCGTTAAGTGAATAAATCCATTTTAATTCCAGGCGTCAATGATGATTGTCAGATATCGTCAGGTAAAGGTAGGATTAAGGTATGTTCCATGTATGTCATCTCTTGCTAATCATGTGCAGCTCGAGGAAAGCCTAAGAAGGCACATGCCGTTTTGCCACAAGAAAAGCTAGGAAACGTTCGGTGTCTGGCCATCAGTCCAGCAGTGCTCATGTTAACAAAACTTTGAACATAAATGCTTTTCTGAGAAATAGAGCATGCATGAGAATCTCTGTAGTAGCAGTTGAGATAGGAATAAACCAAGGTTACAGAAATTGCCTGGCTTTGCACATTAAGGAACCACATTAAACACAAGATGCAGATTAATCACTATATCATTTTTAACTCTGCCTTTTTCAGCACCTATCTGTACCTCCTGTAGACCTGTTGGCGAGAGAACAAAAAGCGATCTTCGACAAAGTGAAGCTATCTGACATCAAATAACGTTCTTTCAGAATTTGAAAAGACTCATACCTGGCCTCCATATACAACGAGCAGATGGAGCCACTCCACAATATAAGGCCTCACTCCACTTTCCAAAAAGATTGCGCACCACTTTACCATCTTCATTAGTTACAACACCAAACACTTCATGTCTTTTGGCTGACCAATAGCTTGCCTGCAAATGTCGAAACAACATAATTATTAATATTATACTGAAATGTTGAATATGGCATTGCAAAAGCTGCATCTTTTCGAATAAATATGTTCACAGGATTGTGAATTATTTCTATACACACTTTCAGGCCACCTCATGAGGAACTTTTTTAAACGTTTTTTGAGAGTGAAGATTATAAGAAAAAATATGAAACATTTTTTTTTCATTTTTTCCCCAATAAATTTTTCAAGATTATATTAATTTTTTAAATTTTCAATATTAGGCTTGCATTGCTAAAGTTAATCATTTTTAACTCGTAATTGTAATTGTAACAGAAATTTAATACTTTACAACTTTGAAGAACAAAGTATGCTCTTTTATTTGATGTATGTATTGAAGTCATTAATTTTTTAAATCATTTTTGACGAATTTTATTTTTTATTATTTAAATTTTCCCTAAAATCGACAGATTATATACAATAGAAATGTCTACTCTATGCTTTGCTGCAGGGTCTCCTGGAGCGTCACTCCTCAAGCACGTGCAAATCAGCAATAGGTGATTACATCAATATACTTTCACCGAGCAATAAATAGAAGAATCCCTTCCTGTCTTACTATGTGCCAGGTATGTACATATGACCTTCATAGCCGATTAAATTGAAATTAAAAAGTTACAAACTGGTGCAATTTAGTATTAAACATACGGAATATTTATACGAATAAGAGTATGTGATACAATTAATTAAATTGATACTACTTTTACTTCGCTTTAAAAATAATATGGTTAATTGACCTTTTCATAAAGAAATGAAACTAAGCATTTTCTTTGTGACTTCTACTGTTTTTTAATATATTATTGTTCAAATAGTCATCTTTCTAAATATTCAGCATTGCTAAAAATATTAAGGAAATGTTCTTCACATTAAGATCAACCCATTTAAATAACTTCCTAGGTAAATTAATTGGTTTCTGTCAGAATTGAAGGCTTGCTTGTATTAAGAATATTATTTATTGCCCCACCTCTCACAAAGTCACAAGGTCTCTAAAAAAACGATGCGAAGCGAAGAAATGCCATTCAGTACTCACATTGAAAACATCTTTGTGGAAGCATTAATTCGCATTGTTTTGTAATAATAGGCATGGCCCGCGTCCGAAAAATGTCTGTTTGTTAACACTGTCATAAACTTATTTCAGAAGTGTTATGAGTTTACCTTTAAATTGAATTCGTGTCGTGATACAACATACATGCGGCATTAATAAGTATGGACGATTCTCGAAAAAACTTCAATTGACTCGCCACGAGCAGGAATTTTTAAAACTAGTATTTCCAATAATATAACTTTTTTACGGCAATCAGTTAATTTTCAACTTTTCAAGAATGCTGGTTGTAATAACCTTATTATTTACTAGGCTGTCCGGGTGACGCCGCGTCCATGGCGAAGGTGCCGACGTTTCGGTCGCCATTCTGCGACCTTCCTCAGGGCGTAATGGCGACCGAAACGTCGGCACCTTCGCCATGGACGCGGCGTCACCCGGACAGTCTAGTAAATACTGACTCCGGCCGCGGAAGCCTACGCTCTCACTTGTAATAACCTGTCAGGCGGACCTGTCCGGCGGTACCAGTCCGACGGATAGCCTAAGCACGGCGGTGAACAAACTATTTTTTAATGTTATTTGTGTGTTTCCCACTTTGAAATTTGGGATATCTATACAAAATTAGTGTGGAAATACATGAATGATTTTTACAAGTAATTGAAGTGTCGTCCTAAAGTAAAAATTAACATTTAAAAAAATATATTTTAAATATTTAAATAATATATTTACAAAAATTATATTTACTTCACATGAAAGTACATCTTTTTAAGTTAAATGTAAGTGTAATTTTATTTTTGTGAATAACACGGTGTTTGAGCAAAGAATTTTTAAACATTAGCGCGCTCATGATTCTCCAGAAAAAGTAAATGATAATATTTCTGAAAGGGGTGAGATTAGAAAAAAAGAGAAAATACGTGACACCTGTTTTCAACCCTGGAACTCAAAGAAAAAGTTTCGAGTCCCTAAAAATAGCGATGATTTGTGAGTGTGCGATTTGATGTAGAATAACTCATTAGTGCTTGTCCATTCTCCTCATCATGTTATCATCTCATTATTCATAATTCAAGAAGTAACAACATTGTCTTAGCAAGGGATACAACCGTAAAAAATGATCCTCATAATTATACACGTTAATCTCTCCGGGGCTGCCTGGGCCTCGGAAGATTATATGTAGCGTGGTCATAAATGGCCGATACGCAAATAATAATTTGTTCGCAGACTCCTACTCAACCGAAGACCCAAGGCTCAAGGCTGGGTCAACTGTTATGGAATGTCATGTACGACAATTTATTATAAATTGACACGCCATCAGACACCCAGCTTATATGCTACGCAGATTATACTGTCATTATCTGTCATAGTGATATCGACTTGCTGGAGATGAGAGTGAATGAAATCCTTTTTAGGCTAAAAGGTGACTTGACAGGAGACTCCTACATATGGTTGTGGATAAATTTTATAACGCGTATTTTATAAAATTATATTGTGTATAACGCCGCTGAGAAAGACTTCAGGAACCGCACAGTTTGTTTCTACCTGTGTGTGCTTTCGGGACGCCTGGGACGCTGTGGAATCCAGCCCTTTTGTTTCGGCGCAATCCACGCTAGGCCACATCCTCTGACTCAGGGGAAAATACGGACGCCGCCCCTTCCAAGCGACGCACCCCCGTCGAGCCCTTTTCTCGGTACTCGGATGACGTTTGGGTTTCGCAGAATTTGGCAAGGCGCGGGCGTCCGCCAACGACGCAATAGGGCGGAAGAAACCGCGTGACGCGCGCCCGCCAATCGCGGGAAATGAAGCGGGGAGGGTCACGTGACCCGCGGTACTCTGGCCAGTACAGCCGTTTACGATGAGATTAGTTTTAAGATAGTTCGTAAGATTAATTTTAGCATGAGGCTTCACCTCGATCACAAAAAAATTATCATTAAAATCATTTCACGAAAAATGGAACAATACGTTTGAATGTTGTGGTAGCATTAGAGTTAGCCCTATCACGCATGCCTCCCTCTAGAGAGTCTACCGACGGAGCAGCCAGGGCATCGCGAAGCGGAGGAAATTCAGGTAACCAGGTGAGTCGGTGTAACCACACGGAGTAGTGGTTACATTACAAATTCTAACTTATGTAGCATCCAACTGCACAAATTGGGAGCGGGTGACTAAAGGCTAGCAATCTTTATTTCATTTTTTCAAATGTTTAAAATAATGTCTAAAAGATTAATTTGTAAGCGTAAAAAGCTCCAATGTAAGATACGAATAAAGAACTATGAAATAATTTACTCATTCTAACATACGTAAATCCAACTGCCTCAAAACACCTCTAAAATTACGATCACGAATGAGCCAGATTTTCATTGCGGGCGACTAACTAACCAATTACTCAAAAATACTCACGTTTTGGAAAAATTCAACATGGCCTTATTTGAAGATCTGTTGCTGATGATCACATTTAATTTTTTTTAAATTATCTTCACAATTATAGTAGGAAGACGACGGAAAAATTTTGACTTTTTTCCATTCTCGAAAAATTAGGGTTTTTAACCGACATGAGGTCTGCACCATTTTCTTAAACGCCCTTCAGACTATCCAAAAGAATTTCATTAAAAATCATGGGGTAGTTTTTGAGAGAAAAAGTTGTTTAAACAAAATTAAAAATTGCCTT